CAAACCCCCTCACCTTCCTCTGCCCGTCCTGCGCCCGATGAAAACGAGTTGGATGATCAGATCTGGTCGACCTCTGACCCTTATAGTGCATACCTGATCGCCGAACCTGATGGAGTCCATCCAGCCTGGTCTGACGCCCTCAAGCGTTGTCTAGCCAACTCCCAGGCCTTCGTACCACCCCCTGAGCCGAAACCCAAGCAAGAGACTACTAATACGAAGGCCCCCACGCCTGAAGAAAAGACCCAACAAGTAGCAGGCGGGCAAAGTCTGAGGACATCTCAATCCGAGAACGAGACTCAAATGGATCGTGATCGGCAACGAGCACTCAAGTTTCTAAACCCCTATGGCTCAACAACCGAACAGCCCAGCCCGGAAGACCAGAGTGGCTCGAGCACTGGTGAGAGTAACACGCTCCCCCAGGACCAGCTGTCGCTCACCATGCAAGCCGCCCGGTTCTTACATTCGGGAATGATGTCCAACCGATGGCCGAGTGCGGTCAATTGGGCCGCCATCGATTCCCGATTAACGGCCGCTACGGAGAGCTATAATAGTAGTGAGACCAATAATGGTGAGCCAGGCCGAAAGCTGGCAGACTTCAGTGGCTCCTTCCCGGCGATCAGAGGCCAAGAGCGAGCGATCCACTCGGGTCGACGGAGTCGGCCTGGTCATGCCAGCAGACACCGGATCCTCTCGGCTGTCCGGGGAGACCCTAGAGACGGACAGACGTTCTCCTTCAACACCGAACAGTTGACCCAGATCATCAAATACAGTCAGAGGATCATCAAGGATAAATTGAACATCGACGCGATCCCCAAGTCGATCCTCCAAAACCTCGAACGGTTCGGAGAGTTCTTGATCCATAAACATTTCAAAAACGCTCGCCATCCTTCATCTTCGGCTTCTTCTGCTGCTTCTGCTGCCAAACCGAATCCTACTACTCTCCCTGGTTCATCGATCACCCCGATCGTGATCATCGATCCTTCCGCCCCGACTCATCAATCCTCGGTCGATCCGCCCGGAATCGTCATCAATTTCGATAGCGTGTTTCGGAAGAAGAAGAGGAAAATGAAAGTGCACAAGTCAGTCCCACTCCCTTCTCTCCTTCTCTCTTCATAGATCTTCCAATACTAAACTCTCGGGGGGGTTTTTTGGGGGAAAACGATGTAGATATAAGAAGAGAAGAAAAGCTAGGAGAACGTTGAAGAAACGGCAAGGTAAATAGGATCTTCATTCTCCCAGATTCGTCAACCTGGAAAACCCCGCCTCGGAACTTGGCTAGTCAAGATGATGTGAAGAGCAAGAACCAGACGCAGTAAGGATTTGGGGGTTTTGGAAATCCTTGCTCTTCTCTCAGCTTTCATTCCTCCTTCCTTGGTCGCTCTGAACTCGCAATCCCTTCTCTCCTCCATCTCGTCGTCTCTCATTCCATTATCCTCAAATAACAATCATCATCCTTCTTGTTTGGCTTGGTTTGTTTGTTTTCATGGTTCTCATTTGATGAGCAATTACTTATCAACAAAAAAACAAAAAATGAGAAACTCAGGTGTGATAAAGAGCTTCCGTTTGTCACTCATTAAGCATTCAAAAAGAAAGGTGATCTTCTTCTTCTTCTTGGAATGGCCCTCGTACATACTGCCTCCACGTTCTAGTGGCTCTGGTCGTACGGTCACACATGATAGCTGTTCAGCTGGGTTGGTGTTCCAACTTTGGAAACCGGTGTGGATGTGTTTGTGCATTCAACTGCTGGGAATCAATCATCTGGATTTCGTCGGCATATATATTATACATACTACTTAAATTGATCGGCAGCTGGTCGAGGAGATGGACTCATGGACGCCGGTTGAACAACGCAAGCGCAATTAAGCTTGTGTATCTATTACGTTTTCTTGCTTCTGCAATATTGTGTGCTCAATTTGAGGAAATGTAATTGTTGAGGAAATTGGATAATTTATGTCGGAAAATTCACACTGATATGTATTCGTGCCGGCTTGGGACGCATGCTTGTTCCCATACTCAAGGCGAGCACACTGAGCAAGTTTGGCACAGGCTGCTTCAGCTTGGACAGTTGGATTGCCAGAATCTTCAGAAATCAGTTGAGAAGGTCCATTCCACCTAGAATACAAGTAGAAAATAGAAAAAAACCATGGAAAACCCATCAAAAGTGGGAAAAAACAGCTCACTTTCACAAAAAAAATCAAAAATTTCTCCCAAAAATTTGGAACACCCAAGGGGGGGTAGTTGAGAAGTCGTGCGGGTCACTGTATCTCCTCGGCTGGGTGCATACATCCACTCTCCCATCTTCTTAAAAACCTCTTCCCACTTCCCACACACTCCAACAGACCAACACCAACACCGACATGAACCATCGAGGACCACAAACAGGACTATAAAAAATCACCCCCATCCCCACCCCTATCCGAACTACACACACACACACTGAGCAACCAAAAAAAACCACAGTAACAACATCACCAATCATCACTAGGATGTCCGCAACTTATAGTAAAGGTTCGTCAGCCTTCAAAAGAATCACTCGACATTCGGGATACATAGAAATCCGGCTGATTTCTGGTTCTCTTGTTATACATAGAAGATCAGCAACACCCAGCCACTGCTATCATCGATCAGGATACCCCGCTGCTTTCGACCAGCCCCAGATCCTACTCGATCTTTAACCTTGAAGACCAATTCCTATTCTATGGTCAGTACAGATCACTCTTACATAATAATATATAACCAAGATCTATACCACACCCCTTATCGCTTGCAAATCACTGACAACAAACCTGGTGTTTTTAACTATTGTGGGGGGAGAAATCCGCACAGGCCAGTACCATCACAACCCGGTCAACATCATCATCCATCTGATCTGTGTCCCCCTCATCTTCTTCACCACCCTCATCCTCGTCCACCAGTTCTCCTTTTTCGGACAGACGATTCTGGGCTCGGTGGGGCTCCCGGAGCTAGTTGTACGGACGGGATGGTTTGGGGGAGAGGGGACGATGTACGAGCTGAACATGTCGACGATAACGTCGATAGGCTATGCGGTATACTTTATAGCCCTAGAGCCTGTCGCGGGGGTGCTATACATGCCGATCCTCCTCAGCTTCGGCCATTGGTCCAACCTGCTCGTCCAGGCCTTCCCGCAGAGCTACTTCTATCCCGTCCTGGCCGTCTGGGCATTTAGTTGGATCTTGCAGTTCGTCGGCCATGGCCACTTCGAGAAACGCAAACCCGCCCTGCTCGATAATCTCTTCCAATCCATCGTCCTTGCCGTCTTCTTCGTCTGGATCGAGGCCCTCTTCTTCCTCGGCTATAAACCTAAACTCGCCGCTCATATCCATCGCAAAATCAACGCCGCCGTCGCTCATTTTAAGGCCGCTGCTTCTGCCGCTCAGCTCCCTCATACACCCCTGGTTCAAAAGCTGCCTACACAAAAACCTTCTCTCTCTTCTTCCTCTTCTCATACACTTGCCCCCCCCCCCTCTT